AGAAAAGAAAGGAAAAGACAAGAAAAGAAAAGAAAGGAAAAGACAAGACAAGAAAAGAAAGGAAAAGAAAAGAAAAGAAAGGAAAAGACAAGACAAGAAAAGAAAGGAAAAGACAAGACAAGAAAGGAAAAGACAAGAAAAGAAAGGAAAAGACAAGAAAAGAAAGGAAAAGACAAGAAAAGAAAAGAAAGGAAAAGACAAGAAAAGAAAAGAAAAGAAGCTTGTCGGATGATGTTTGCAGTACATTAGCGCAATATGCATAACTCTAAGAACACTCAATCGAAGTATGGATGATTTGATGTACTTAATTGTAACTCGCAGGACGGTATTTCCAAGTGCATGTAGCTCTAAGTTCGGATGATTCGAAGTTCGGATATCAAAATTGTAATAAAATGGCTTGTCACACTAAGCTCAAGTAATCCGTGACCATAATATCATTGTTATGGCTTAATCATTACTTACTTACTTACTTACTTACTTACTTACTTACTTACTTACTTACTTACTTACTTTTGGGGACTCTCATGGCCTAGAGGTTAAGGTGTTCGCCTCTTATTCAATAGGTCCCGGGTTCGAATCCGGATAGCGGTGAAAATTTTCTTCTCTAAAAGGTTCTCCTTTCACATCATTTCCTGCTCTCTAACAATGTTCTGTCTTTTGCTTTCGTCTCCACTTTCTGCCCCCCCCCTCACCTCCGTTGCCCCCTTCTTTCGGTTGTCTTTCAGCCACACCCCTGATCTTATGGTAGGTAAGATATACACCTAGCCTTCTCGGACAAGGGCGAAAAAAACTCGTTGGTCCCGTGCGCAAGTCGCCCATGTTAAAGATCCCTTAGCGGTCCAAAATCGATAAGAGTAGGAAAAATTCAAAATTTCGTACCAGCTGAAAATGTGTGGTGTGTCCCGCGTGCTCAAATATGACCTTATGCATGTGCGAGCGTGGTAAAACAATTACAAAAAATAATGAATAAGAAAAATTACTTTACTTTTACTTTATCCTTCCTCGTGCAAGTTGGATGGCCTGGCTGAGTTGGGTGTTGTGGGTCCTCAGGGTATCATTCACATCCTCGATCCAGGTCTTCCTAGGTCATCCTCTTGCCTTGAACCCTGATATTCTTTTGTAGTACGCTTTACTTTATATACTTTTGAGAAAAATGTCGTAAGGTGTTTCCAGCATTGTTGGGTTGCAGTGCATATGACCTCGGAGTTCACAGGAGTGGAGTTTAAATCCCATGACAGGACACTTGGCTTAATTTATTTTAGTTGTAGCGGTAGCGTCCCTCGAGACATAATGTGGGTCATTTAGAAGGGGAAAAAGCGTTCCCCTGTTAAGAGAATGGACTGATAAGAAGAACATCCCAGAGAGGCACGGAAAACTTTGGGTCCTACTTGGATACAAAACTAGGCTTCGTGTTATGTCCTCCTGGCAACTGAATTTTTATAATTTGATTCTATTTCTGAAATGTTCACGTTGTTTTCCGGCTCATTTGGGCATCTCCACTCTGTGATGATTCTATCTGCATCGACTGGAACCTAAAACTGAGACAAAAGTAATCATAAATATTTAAGCTACTTTCAGGGAGCTTTACGCCGAACTTTGGTTTTGTTTTTGCTTTAATTTCTCTTGCTAAACCTGTTATGACACATTCGACTTAATATTTAAGCTATTCTTTTGACTCTAAGTCAATGAGTATGCTTGCTGCACTTAGAAACGCAAACTACCAAAAAGAAAATAACGTTTCAAGTCAACAATATTTCTAAAAGATAAAGAAAACGATAGATATAATGTATGTTTTAAAAAAAAGATAAAGAAAAGAAATACAAAGAAAAAAACAAACTATTATGGTGAACGATCTTCTCGATCTTAGGGAACATGACGAGTTTTCAAAAATATTTACAGAGAGAGCATTTACTTTGAAAGTAGCTTCATTCACGAATTGCAAGTGTACCTCCTCCCTCTCCTCCTCTTCTCCTTGTTCCCTCCTCCCATAACCTCCTCCCCTCACCTCCCTTCCCTCTGTTTCGTCCCGTCCGCTGTGGATCGGAGCGAGGGTGTTTTGGGGTTTGGTATTTTATCACATTGTGCTCTATATCTTGAATATGATGAGGTTTCAATTCAATCGAGTACCTGACAGTTTAGGAATCATGAAATGAAACTACAAATCATTTATTATTAAAGAAACTACAGATATTTGTTTCCTTATTCCGATCGGTCCAAAGGTAACCTTTTCCTGCCGATATCTAGTACGCCAACTTATATCTGGTGCATTCACTTCTAATGTATGCTTTCCCTGCGTCCCTGTCTCTGAAGCCAGTAGGTAAAAGAATGTGTTCTGTTCGATTGTTAGTTTTCGACCAAGTTTGAAGACCTACTCCACTGCAAAACAGAAAATAAGCTGAGAAAGAACAGAACTTTGGCACAATATTTTTTTATTTGCGAAATGTATTGATAATCTATAAGCCATAATAATCTAATGGCTGGTTAAACACCTCACCTTTGATAAAACTGGCGCTTTTATTACCTGGCTGCAATTTTATACATTTAAATACGACAAAATTATCTTTTGATAATAGTATACTTAGTCGTTCGTTAGTAACATTTTACAAAGAAGCACTTTAGTCGTTTACAAAGATATTATACATTAATAAGTACTTTTATGGCGCACGAAAAGTGTGTCACATTATTTCCAAAGAGTGCTTGAGTGTTGAAAGGCTGGCGTGAGTTGCGATTTCACGGCACTTTCGAAACTGTTAGGTCGCATGTAAAAAACTTCCAGAAATCAGAAGGAACCAGAGCAGAGCGCGTCTGTCAATCATAATTCACTGGGGAAAACTCTTCATGGGAAGGACGAGAAATCAAGTAGCTAGTTTGGTCGTTGTCTGAAACTCACTGACTAAAGTGGGGGCGAAGATTTCGCTGTAATGAGTTTTTCAAACTCAATTTATACGTCAGTGAATGGCGGTTATTCTGAGAGCAGCTGGCTGCTTTTTGCCCACCCTACTGAGTTACACACGCGCTGTTTAAAGAACCCCCCCCCCCCACAAAAACCCCAAAACGAGAAAACTTGCTCTAAAAACTTAAGCCAAATGAAAAACAATAACCAAAAGTATAAGGCCTCTTTGAAAGAAAGGCGGAAAAAGAAGAAATGCTTTTAAATAACCAGATAAAAGCAAAATAGCAAGGCATTAAGGTGTATTACTTTAGTTTTAGCAAGTGTTTTATGGCATTTGAAACACAATAACAGCCGAAGATTAAAGGTATTACAAGATGTATTGCACACAAAAAAGAAGGAGGAGCAATAAGGACGATAGGATGTTTCATAGGAAAGAAGAAGCAAATCACATCAGAACATCCGCTAACCACCGCAAGGTGTGTCACACGGTTTAAGTGAGCTTTTTAAAAAGACATAATATAATACATTTTTAGTCTTTGGTAGCCAAAAATGCCCGTAAGTGTAAGTAAGTAGCAGCTTCAGCAACACCAACAACAGCAACGACAGGAACAACAGCAGCGACATCAGCAACAATTATGATAGCTGACAAACATATCAGCGTCAACAACCACAAAAGAATTATCGTCGGTCAGCTGTTCAAATATTACTAAGCCCAACATTTTGAAAATTGTCTCTATTGCAATTTTTAAATCTTTGGTTGGTTGCGTATGGACAGGTAATATTTTGTTTAAATTCAAAATATAAATATTGAAAAGAGACACAAATAATAGTAATAATAATGATAATAATAATACTAATAATAATACAAATAATGATACTAATAATAAAGAAGAAGAAGAAGAAGAAGAAGAAGAAGAAGAAGAAGAAGAAGAAGAAGAAGAAGAAGAAGAAGAAGAAGAAGAAGAAGAAGAAGAAGAAGAAGAAGAAGAAGAAGAAGAAGAAGAAGAAGAAGAAGAAGAAGAAGAAGAATTAATTCGTTTTCTTTTTCTCTCTCCTAAAACATTTTGCTTTCTCGGCTTAGTGCATTTGAACAGTGTGCCACCTATGTACACTGAAAATGTTTGTTTCGAATTATATTAAGAAGCGTAACGATGTCAGAGCGATGATATCTGCAACAAGAACAAGCGTACAAACTACAATGATATTGTCAACAAACACAAGAACTAAAAATGGCACTGTCTTCGTCGATGTCCTCCTCCTCCTCCTCCTCCTCCTCCTCCTCCTCCTCCTCCTCCTGCTCCTCCTCCTCTTCCTCCTCCTCCTCCTGCTCTTCCTCCTCTTCCTCCCCCTCCTCCTCCTCCTCCTCCTCCTCTTCCCCATCCCCATCAGGAGGAACAGCAAGTACAGGTAACAGCACCAACACCTACTACAACAGCAAAAACAGCATCCCTCGTCCCTCGAACTTTTCCCACGTGCATTCTTTTAGCACTGAAAGATACGTCCTCTGCCAGTCATTCGCAGAGATAAAAGTTTCATCTTAGAAAATCTGCTCGTGGTGTAATGTAAGTTTAGATAGAGATGGGCTCTAACGGAGGAAGGGGGGGGGGGTAAGAACAAGGTACGGAAGAGATAGGTAGCCAAGCTCCAACACCATCGCCATCATCTGTAGAAACAATTCTTTGAATCTAGTGGTAGCCGGCGCGAATCGGTTTTTCCCCCCAGAAGACAAGAAAGGCCGCAGTCAGTGGCGTGTGGAGGGGAGAGTGGAGTCTGGAGTAAAAATCGGTGTCCTGATGGTGTCGAGCCGAGAGCCGAGAAAAGTCCCTCTCCCCACTCTCTGAGGTCTCCACGGGTTTCCCTCGCTCTCAATGCACGCCCGAGCTCTCCACGAAGCAGGGATTGCTGCTATCCAAGCGTCCCGCCCGGAGATCAGATTCGGCGTACCGTGGTGGAGGCGTTGGGTACGACGGTACGACGGTAGCGATAGCCGGCCAGCCGACCGAGAGGCGGTCGAGACGAGCCGTCGAGCAGACAGACGCGGGCTCGGTCGAGTCGAACAGTTTGAAGACTGACTGAGAAGTTTTAACGCGCTGCGGTGGTATGAAGCAAGCGGAGAACTTTCTGTCTGCATCCCTAGAGGGGCATAGTAGTTGTAGTAGAGCGAGTAGCACTCGGTGCGTGTTGTGGCCACGCTACGGGACGGGGGAGAGAGAAGTGCTTTGTTGCTGGTCGTAGTACCAGATCTACTACTATTTCTAGTTCAAGCAGTAGAAGGCCAGCGGACGTTTTCTAGTGTTGTTTTTTATGTCTCGTTTTTCTTAGTAGTGAATTCTTGGACTATATTCTCCGGTGTTTTCCAAAGTATTGACAACAAGAAGTGCATGTGGATATCTACACCATTTATAATAGGAACAGTGCATGTAAATCAAGTCCGCTCTGTAAACATTGTGATTGTCAGAATAGTTTTGTGTGTAGCCCTATTATTTTGCTGTTGTCGTTTGGAAATTGATTGGCTGTAAATTATCTTCATGCACTCCGTTATGGTTTCTCTGTGCCTTTTTTGCCTTTGATTCCGTCTTGATGTGAAAAAATGATGTATGTTTACAACCCCCCCCCCAACAACAACAACACAAAATAACAACAACAAAAACAACAACAAAAAACCGCCCAGCAAGCACATCGCTTTACCTTTTATTTGTTTACATACATACCAGCAGTTTACCTGTCAGTTGAAATTCAATAAAACTTAGAATGGATTCTAGGTGTATAGGACAAAAACTATGATGTCAATCTTATTGCCTAGATTTCAGTTTCTGTTTTTTCCTGTGTAGGCTACCTCTAAGACCGTATAGATCTAGCTCTAGCCTATAATAACCGTTCTGTCTCCCACTTGTCATGTTTTAGGCACGGCAATGCATTTTAAGCCTACAATAATGATATTATTATATATGCATACAAATAAAATATCAATATAATATGGATTCACCTGCCTCTCTCAAAACGGAAGCAAACCACTGGGATATTTGTAAAGACAGACTGTTTTATAATGCTACGTTTTGTTTTCTTAAGTTATCTTGCATAATATTAATAGAGTGGTCTGTCAGAAGGGCCCCACGGATAGGTTCTAAATTATTTTAGATCTATAACTCTCTTCTATTTCCGATTCATGCCCCCCCCCTCCCGAAAAAAAGAGCTTGATTGACTACACTGTATCCGGTGCTTTTCTTTAATTCAGACAAATATTATTGTATTTTTCGGGGTGCCCCCCCCCCAAAAAAAAAA